ACTGTAGCTAGAGTTTTCCTGCCTGGCCCACAGTTAGGACAAATCTCTGTCACCTGCCAGTCCCACAGTCGCTCAGACGCAACCAAGTAACACAGAGATTTATATTGCTTACAAACTGTATGGCCGTGGCAGGCTTCTTGCTAACCATTCTTATAGCTTAAATTAATCCATTTCCATAAATCTATACCTTGCCACGTGGCTTGTGGCTTACCGGTGTCTTCACATGTGACTTGTCATGGTGGCGGCTGGCAGTTTCTCTGCTTCAGCCTTCTGCTTTCTAGAACTCTCCTCTGTCCTTGTCCCACCTAATTCCGGCCTGGCCAATGGCCAATCAGTGTTTTATTTATTGACCAATCAGAGCAATTTGACATACAGACCATCCCACAGCACCACACAGTGTATAGGAAATATAAATTGACATTCACAGGTTTTCCATATACAAGATGTCTAGTTTAAATATGAAAATATAGTATGATTAAGTATAATCTAAAAAGGAAAAATAACATTGATATTAGTCAGTGCAAAATTACAATAAACAGATGGTCAGAATTTTATAAATTAAAACATATTTTATGTCCCAAAATTCAAAAGCAAATAAGTAAGAAAACCTGTATGAGTGCAATTATGCATCATTTAACAATATGATTAGATACCATTTACATGAATTCAATTAAATTTATGGGGGCTAGTTGTATAGCTTAGTAATAGACTGCTTGTTGTTCATGTTCAAAGCCCTTTTCAAAGCCCTTGTTTGGTCCCCAGCATACACACACACACATACACACACACACACACACACACACACACACACACACACATACACACATACACACACATCTAATTTCCTCTAGAACATAATTTAACATGTACTTTTTCAGTATCACTAGCCAAATTTCCCAGTTCTCAACAGCTACCTATGGCAGTGATTAATATAGCAGAAAGTTAATATTCTGTGATCATCAGCACAATATTGCTTACCTAATATTTTGAGTATTGAATAATAAACTGATAAAATAATATTTTACGATGAAAAGTAGGCTATGATCCTATTGGGGAGATAACTACTACGTTTGGCACAAATTTTAGAAAAATATACAAAATGAACATGAATATTAAACAATGAGAAGAAAATATTATTATTTTTGCCTATATTCTTCCAGGGTGCTTGTTGACTCGGTGTTGAATGAAGGCTGTCTTCCTGGTTTTCAGATAAGTATCATTGCTTTATCTCTTTACATGGATTTTCCTTGGCATGCGTGTATATCAGAAGAGAGAAAGAGGAAGAGGAAGGGGAAGAGAAGAAGGAGAAAGAGGAAGAAAGAGGAAGAAGGCTACTTGTCCCATTGTACTGGCTCCCTTAGAACTTTATCTATATGTAATTACTCTCTTGTGGTGTGATCTTCAGCTGATTATATGCTCAGAGTTAAGGATCTAGCCTACACATTTTAAGAGGACATAGATATTCAGTTAGCAGTGTATCTGTAACTAGGTCCATGAACAAATGGAGGGGAAATGTTCTTCACAGATTCATTTTATAATTTACAACTTACAATACACTATTGCACAGATATCTCTTTCCAGCTTTATCTTTGCCTACGTTTTCATCCTAGTGAGCTTTCCCAGAATTCTGTTATTTTACTAAAATGAAGCAAATTTCTCAAAGATGACTCAGTTCAGAATTTTCATAACCATCCTGGAGCCATCTACCTTCTATTTCTGATGTGGACCACTTTACTAAATTCTAATTCAACTCTATCCATTGTTGACTTTGTCTATTATCAATTATTCTCTAGTAAGGGATTTGATTGGATCCTAGCATCCTGGAGTGAAATATCTCTACTGTTTCCTTTGACTAATAGCTTTAAGATATAATTCTTGTCTGCTGAAGATTAAAGTTTTGAAATACACTGTCACTCTTTGAAAACACTAACTTCTATTTCTCTTTTGTAGCTTTTTATTTTTCTCCAGTGTTTTTTAAATACAGTGATAACTGCTAATTCTCATGGTAAAACATTTATACTTTCATCACTGTTTGCTTAAATTATGTCAGAAATATTAGACAGTCATTCCCATAGAGTTCTTCAGAGGTTTTGTTCCAAGTCTGACTTCTATCTTTTGTTCATTGTATCCTCTAATATTATTGTTTACAGTACCTGACTTCAGTATCATTCTCAAAAATTGTACCACAAATATATAATCTATATTTCTCCAATAAAACAAATTTGTATATTTTATAGCATTGAATGGTTTATAGAATAATGTATTATCCAAGCAGGAATCTATTTTTAGATGCTTGGATACTGAAGATCTAATTTAGGATAAAGTATATGCTTGTACAAGCACTGTACCACTAACCCATCTCTATGTGTTATAATGTACAGTTTTAATGAAAGATACTATATAATTTTCTTTACTGAAATTGTTTGAGCAAATCAAATGTTTCAGAATACTATGAGTTTTCAATAAATGTCTATGGATAGAGAGAGTAATGGGGATAGCAAAACTGATCTTTTCTCTACTTTCTCTCAAAACTTTTTCCTTTGGTTTGTTGAATTCTGGCACTATCTCTCCAACAGCCTCGAAGTACATTTAATGTAACAACTACAGCGTATGCTTTGTGTGTGTGGTGATCGGAATAATGTAAAATGAAGAGACAATAGTAATTCTAATTGGATAGAGAGAAAAAAATAGAGCAAAGTCTAATAAAGTAAATATTTTGGGTCAAAAATCTTAAAGCATATTCTATTACACATGTATTTCTCATTCATCTTCTATTAATAAAAATTAAGGTAACATAGTTTTCATTAATTAACAGGAGGGAATCATAGTGTTTTTTTCATTTAATGACAATCTAGATATATTTCAAAATATTGAATATCTGAAATATAGACCGGATCACAACTGTAATATAAAGAGTATGGAGCAGTAGTCAATGCATAGCATATGATTTAGGCAATGACCTAGCAAATTAAAATGTGATGTATACTGAGTGCTTCCCATGGATGAACAATCTTCCTGTCACTCAAAATAAAAAGAGATGTCATTTTGAATCTCCTACTGTAACTTCTGAAGCTTACTAATTTTACCACATTCTCCACACTGTACTTGATGAAGCTATGTAGGTCATTGCTAATGAGTTGGATCAGATAAGTATTTTACTCTACTTTGCTATTCATTCTCCATATTTGTCTAGTGTAAAAATGAAACATGTGATGAAAGTATGGTGTGTGTGTGTGTGTGTGTGTGTGTGTGTGTGTGTGTGTGTGTGTACAGGTTAGTGTTTATTCTTGCATCTTAGGCATCTCTTTACTCTTTGGGGATCAAAAGTATTTAAACTCACTTAAAAAAATCATTATAAGGTCAGACTGGCTGGCACACATCTTTAATCCCACTACTCAGAAGACAGATAAAATCTGAGCTCTGTAAAACAAAGGCTAGCCTGGTCTACACTGTTAGTTCCAGGTCAACTAGGAATACATAATGAGACTCTCTGTCAAGAAAAGATATAATAAAGACAAGTAGAAGTAGAATGTTTTTAGTAAAATTTGTTGTGTCTCACTCTCAAATCCTACAACTTCTCATTAAAATGTCTATAGTATCACTTAGGAAATTAGGGCCTTGCTCTAACCTTGTAAATGATTTCATTATTAATTTTTATAGAAAATATGTTAAACAAGTATATTAAATTTTATGATGGATGCTGTAGCCAAAAAGAAGTAAGAATTAGTTAAAATGAGAAATATTAGAATTTGTGCAGAAAGAGAAGCATTCAGGCATCTGTTTTTCATTCCTGCATCTCTCAACCCAGACGATCTGTCACAAAGAGCAAAGACTGAGAAGAGAAGAAGGAGTTGGAGATGAGTGAGACATCCCTTTTCTCATTTTTCTATCTGTGCTGTAAGATGAAGGCAATGTTCTTTTATTTGTTTGTTTTTACTTTTTACTTTTTCTGCTGGATTCACCATTTCCTCCCAGTAATCTTAGAGATAAAACTGGTTAAACTTAGCTGCTCACATTTTCCTTTGCCCCCAAATAAAGAGAAGTCTACTTTTGTTGAAGGATTTCTCCTATTTCTAAATCCAAGATTAAAAAATAAGAAATTAGGCTTCCATGTACTTTAATAATCCTAAACTTAGGGTCATGGTAATCAGCTTAGTTGTACTAAGGCTTCTTAAAATATCTTTTTTTTTCTAATACTAAAGCATAACTTTGTATGTGACTTAAAAATTTGATGACTTAATCTATCATTTTTATTTAATCCATATTTCTTATTATATAAAACAAAACTATCTAATGCAGTGTGGAATTAGAAGTTGAGAATTTAATGAGGAAGTATTAAGTTAGATTAATTTGAAAAGTTAGGTCAATTTAAACATGGAATGCTTAACCTCTAAATGGATCATTAGCCCACACACTAGAGCTCTGCTTAACAATGGAGAAATTAAAATGTACTGCTATCTGAACTCTATCTTAACAATTCCTTCAGTTGGCCTGTGGCTTCTTTCAGGATGCCAAGCAATTGCCCCACAATAAGTCGCATTCTTCAAGGAAATAATGATGGGCCACCCAATATTACAGGAGATTCAAGAAAGCAGAAACACATAATCAAAAACAAAAACAAAAGAAAATCAAAACAAACCAAAAAAAAACAACCCCCAAACAAACAGGTGATGACTGCTTAGAAATACTGTGGATCCTTTAAATTAATATGTCATATACATATAATCTTTTGGAGTTAATGTATTGACTCACTTATGATAGTATTGACACTATGATAGTACTCAGTCCTGTTAGACATTAGATTAATATAAAATCACATCAAAAAAAAGTAAAAGCATTGGAATTAGGAACACGGGCATTGAAAATTTTGGTTAATTTCCTATTCTACTGTTTTCTTGCTCTGTAACGTAAAATTAGTTAGGAAGGCTTCCATAGACCCAGTTTCCATCATTGGTGTCATTATCTTCATCCTTATGCAACATTTTCATCCTCAAACTTACCCACGATTGATTGCTGTAGCAGTTGGTATTTTTTTCCCTACTCTATGATTTCAGTTTATCAAACATTTCATATCTATGACAGGTATTTCACGGAATCAGTTCTTCTGCCTAGTATCGTGTCTCATGTGGCCCATTGAGTTCTCATCTTCTTAGCCCTTATGATTTTGCTTTTCTGTAAAGAAACTTGCTCAAATGCACTGCCCTCAAGAAGCCTCGAGTAAAAGTGACCTGTTGATAAAAGTGGAAATGGAAATCTGATGAGCCAATCTCATGAACTTTGGAGTCACCTTGCTTTTTGTGATTCTGAACAGTTTGAGATTGAAGATGCGAAGCACAGTACATGAAAGCCTCAAGTAGGAGCATTGTGGGTCTAAATCACGTTAGAATATATGGGACGTCACTTGAGGCCCACGTCAGGAAAGGGAGTCCATGTCTGACAATGCTTGGATGACCAGGAACTGTAGACTGGACAGCTCAGACACCTCGGATAGAAGAGAAAATCAATGAAATGATTCCTAATGATATTATGCTATACTCATAGATTAGTGTCTAACCCAATGGTCACCAGAACTTCCTTTAGCAACTAATGGGAACAAATGCAGAAACCCACAGCCAAACATTAGGTGCAGGGAGAGCCCAAATTGGAAATCCACAGTGGAGACTCCCTTGAAGCGCAGGAAACCCCATAGAAGAGGGAGAGGGAGGCTTGTAGGAGCCAGAGAGGTCGAGATACCAGGAGGACATAGCTCACAGAATCAAGTAAGCAGGGTTTACGGGGGCTCACCTTCATGAGGTGGGACACATACCTGACCCTGCTTGGATGAGCAGGAACAAGAGCCGAGGAAGCCCAGAGATCTGTGGTAAAATCAAATACTACTTTTTG